ATGCCACCACGCCCAGACTCTGGGTCCTTAAATTTGAGGTGTCAAACTTTGGCTTGAATTTTTTTTGGCGTGGTGTTGTGCATACAAGGCAAAAAAGCTCAACCACTGAGCTACATTCCCAGTCCAGGCTTGAATCTTTGATCCTTCTGTGTCATCTTCCTGAATATCTGGAATTATAGGCTGATGTCATTGCACTTGACATTAGAATCAGGTTCTAGTAATATGAATCTTGAAATTATTAAACCTATGAGTTTTAACAGCAATGAAAATTTTCTGGTGACATGTTAAACTTGTAGCAGGGTGTAGATATTTGTTCTAGGAGCTATAGATCAAATTAGAACACAAACCCCTTGGTTAGATAAGGAAGTTTTAGCTGATTAAGGATATGGATTGTAAGATTCTTATTTTGAGTTGAAATACATCCTGATAAATGGCCTAGTACTTTTCAGTGAGTAATACAGACAAGATCAGCCATATTCAGCGTGTTATGGCCATCAATCAGTGCTAGCAAACCTAGCTGTTTATATCATTGAAAGCTCTAAAAAGTCTGCATCACTGTTGGACTTACAGCGAGTTATACAAAATACAGAATTGTTTTTTTCCCCCCAAAATTAATGTTTTGAATGACAGCTATAGGTTGTAAAATTTTGGCTTATAGAAGAAATGTTTGATTCAGTTCTTTGCTACATACATCTTTTGGGATTTGAATTCTAGGTACCTGGTCTTTTAAGACATAGAAAATTAGTACTACAGCATTTGGAAGAGTTGACATGCTGAGCTTCTGCTTCCTCTTTTCTCCCATCCAAGTACTAACCAGGCCCGACCCTATGTAGCTTCTGAGATCAGATGAGATCAGGCATGTTCAGGGTGGTATGGCCGTAGACTGTTTCCTCTTTTTTTTATCTATTTCCACATAAGAACGAATTTGTGTGCTCACTTTGGCAGCACATATACTAAAATTGGAATGATACAGAGAAGATTAGCATGGCCCCTCCATAAGGATCACATGCAAATTCTGAGGCATTCCATATTTTTCCATGTTTATAGCAGCACAATGTGTAAATATCATATTGGTGTCAGCACACCAGACCCACATGTGTAAATATCATATTGTCTTCCTAGTGTAAGCATTCAAAAGAAGAAATAAAAACTGAAAAGTATAATAGACACAGTTAAATGGAAAGAAACAAAACTTAAGGATTTAACAACAGAGAGAGAGAAAGGAGAAAAGATAGGAAATAAGTTAGGGGCAAAGCCATGCAGGTTTATATACAAGATGGATAAGGCAATTCTCCTATGAATTTCTATCAGGTTTTTGAAAATAGCAGTTAATGGGTAGAATTCCCACCATGACTAACTCTCCATGCTGATATCTGTGAAATAAGCAACTATATTGAGGACAGCAATGTATAACACTAAAACCATGCTTGAAATACCTGTCATTTTGGTATTCTAAATGTGTACAGTTTCTAATCTCATATCAATTATTACTATACTCTTTAAATTTATTTTTTAAAAAAGGTAATAAAAGAAAATGAGATAAGAATAAAAATTTAAGTTTTCTTGAAAGCATGTGGTAATATTCAATCATATGTCCCATCTTGCATAACTATATCTGAAAATCTGAGCAACAGATTTGATGATAAAAATAGACAATATATCAATCATTGTTAATCAGCTATTGTTTTGAGAATATGTAACATATGTACTGTTATATGTTAGCCTGTTTCTGTTTTAGCTTTTGTTTTTCTTGTTCTTGTTTTTACTCTTACAAATAAAAGAAAATTGTAATAAAAAGAATGAATTTGTGATATAATAAAGCAAAAGCTTTACAGAGTTTGACAGCAATTTTTTATAAACCCCCCAAATTGATGATTTAACATTACTCTTTTTTTCTTTTCTTTCCCTTGGAATTAGGTAAGAATACAGGTCATTTGCAATGAGCTATATCCCCAGCCCTTTTTATCTATCTTGGATTCTTGCTAGACTGTCTAGGCAGCACTTGAATTTAGGATCTTTCTGTCTCAGCCTTAACTTTTTCTTTTTGAGACAAGGTCTCCCTGTGCACTTCAGGCTGGCCTTGAACTCACTTTGTAGCCCAGACTGGTCTCAGACTCACAAAGATGGTCCTACCTCAGCTTCCTAAGTGCTAGGATTATATATGTGCATCACCATGCCTGGCTTTAACTTCCTTTCTTGTGCCATGTTCTTTTCAAAATATATGGTTCCCTTGGGGCTGGTGAGATGGCTCAGTGGTCTAAAGCACCTACTTAGAACAAGCTTAACAAAGCATAGGGACCGCGGTTCAATCCCCCAGCACCACATGCCAGCCAGCCCTGCCCCCTGGTGGGCTGAGCTGGCCACACACACACACACACACACACACACACACACATAAACAAAAAAACCCAAAAAACAAAATATATGGTTCCCCATTTAAAAACTCTGCCTCAAGTTTTTAAATATAATACTGCCTGCTATATCATTCTTCTAATATAAGATACATGGAAACCTAAATACTGAGATTCCTTAATGTGCTGATTATGTTATGATGATAAATGTGCTACAAAAGGAAACGAAGGATTCTTTTGTAGTGATCAGTTTCAGAGAGACCAGCTGTTAATATGAATAAATCACTTCCAGAGAAGTCCCCCTCTCCCACTTCTAATGAAATTAAAGTTAATAAAATTTTAATGTGAGCCTTTATATCAGAGATTCCTTACTAAATAGAACTATGTATCATTTATGTCTGTTAGGTTGATAAAAATGAAACTCAGATCTCTCTCTGGTAAAAATATTTCTACTAATACTAATGATTCTGTAAAAAAGAACCATAAAGGTACAAATATTAGTCTATTTAATAGTCTATTTACCATAAGCATTGTAAGTGATACAGGTTCATGACTGTACCTTGATTATCTGAGGTCATAAATAAAATTGTATAGAACATTGTATACTACTTAGACCAGGTTACATCTTGGAATTTGTTCTTTTGGGAAACTCTCTGGTTGGTTTTTGTTGTTTGGGTTTTGTTTTGGAAAAAATCTTACGATAGATACAGTTTGGTATAGTTCAGACTGGCCTTGAACTCTTTGTGTAGCCCGGGCTGGCCTCAAATTTCTGGCAGTGCCCCTGCCTTAGCCTTATGAGTGCTGTTTTGGTCTTCGATGAGTTGAATACTTGTTGGCTATATATAATGGCTGTATTTTCTATGAAAATGCTAGATCAATTATCGGAATAGCTATATTCTGTTTTTTTCTCATTGAAGAAATCTTTCTTTTCCCCACCATTCCAAACAGTAATAACATTTGTAAAACATGAAAATATCATTTGTCTCTGAAGTGTTGTGTCAGTCTCTTTAGTAGCTGCTCAGGGCTTTAAATCTCACCTATTGCATTAGATTTGTTAATGAGTTATTAAAAGCGGAGAATTTCCCAGTTCGTCTCATTTCAGATGTCCTTTCTGTTGTTTCTAGATGATTCTTTTGAACTAGACTGTTTGAGTTTTTAAAGCAGTACCTAGTGTAGTTGTGCCTTGCCTTTTCTCTCTTGTATCACCAAGACCCTCAAGGTGGAACCTCAACTGGACTAGATTTTTGAGGCCCGTATTTGGCTACCTACCTGTATGAGTACTGTAGTGGTTTCTTGGGAGGCTCTGTTCTACAGCCAGTTCCTGGTTGGCATATGTTGGGTTAGGTAATATGCAGGCAATTTCCAGCTATCCCTCCTGGGAAGGTATGTTTGCCTACACTTTTATCATCAGAAGAATTCCAGTCTTTGGAGTAATCCAAGGCTTTTGAGTTACAGTCTTGGTCTTGATTTTATCAGTTATTTTTCTTTCCCTTACAATGGCATATAGAGATTTATTTGCCATATTCCAGGCAGATGCTACTTAGCTATTTATTTATTTATTTATTTATTTATTTATTTTGCGGAAACCGGGGATTGAATTCAGGCCCTTGCGCTTGCCAGGGAAGCACTTATTTCACTGAGCCATCTCCCCGGTTTATTTATTTATTTATTTTGCGGAAACCGGGGATTGAATTCAGGCCCTTGCGCTTGCCAGGGAAGCACTTATTTCACTGAGCCATCTCCCCGGCCCTTTTCTTTTTAAGTTAGCAGTGTTTTATTGTTTCAGGTTAATGTCTATTTTCCTTATTGGGTAGAGTAAAAGAATCAGAGTAGTACTGTTTATTGTCATCACAAAAATGAGGTTTACAAGGAAGTGAACTGTGTGTAGTTTAATGACTTTTCATAAAAATTATGACTATTATAAAAGAAATAATGGCTATCAGTCACCATTTTAAGATTGTTTCCATGCTGTGCGTGGTGGTGCACATCTGCAATCTCAGCACTTGGGAAGTTGAGGCATGACGACTGCTGCGAGTTTGAGTCCAGCCTGGGCTCCATGATGAGTTTGTCAAGCCCAGTCTGAACTACGTAGCAAGACCCTGTCTCACTCCCCCATTAAAAATTTAATTTTGTGTTAAAAATTATTATTAATAATGTATTTTGGTTTTTTGGAGACAAGGTCTTCATATTAGTTCAAGCTGGCCTTGTACTCACTATGCAGCGTAGGATGGCTTCAAATTCTTGGCGATCCTCTTGCCTCCGCCTCCTGAATGCTGGGATTACAGGTGTACCCCACCCATGCCCAGCTGCTCCCTCTTATTAATGAAGCCATTCTCAAGTTATTTGTTATGCAAATTTATTTGCAAGCCCTTAGGTCTTTCCTCACTCTATGTGCGCGCGCGCGCGCGCACACACACACACACACACACACACACACACACACTCTCATGTTATCCCATTAAGGGTTGTGACAATTCTGTGGTGTATGTACAGCTGTCCTCCTGGCATTCATAATCCAGGTATTCAGATGATAGTTTGGCCCAGTCAGTTAGACTTTAAGGTGGATTGTCCAATGTTTTTCTAACTTCTTTTTCTTCCCTGAGTCATGGCAATTTCTTTGCTGATGTCCTTTCTCTTCCCTTCCAACAGAAATTTCCATGCAGTATCGGCATGATGGAGCTTGCCCAACAACTAGTAAGTTGTCCAGATGGGTCGGTAATCTGGGCTTTTTGATTCTTTAGTGCCTTTTGTAGTATATCATGACAAAGTGTAGCCCATTCCTAATTGAATAGATTTATTTCTTCTACAATATATATTAATATGCTGCTTTGTGTTGTGTTCAGGATCTGTATTATTGTTAGATCTTGGGCAAACTGTAATCATTGTTGGCTTTTTTGTATAGCTCTTCTATTGTAGAATTGTGACTTCTGTCCCTTGATGAAATACTATTTTCAGTATTTTGGTTTCCATTGTTTTAATGTTAATTTTTCAATATTTGTATATTGCTGTTAGGTAGTTTTCTTGCTTAGATCTCTATGCATATTGAGACCTTTATTGAAGTCTAAGAAATGGGAATGTTTGAGAGTGAGATGATAATGCTGGTTTTTTCTTTCCAATAAATGTTGTTGAGTGTACTAAGATAAATGTAGAAATGCATGTACAGTTACATCCTGTAGAGACTCACTTTTACCAAGAAATTGGGTAGACTACTAAGCATCTTTTTAAAAAGTAATTAAGAAATATATAACAGATGATGAATTTAGCAGATAATAGTGTATATTGGTGAGTGGAGTACAATATTTAGAAATTTATACTATGTAAAAATAAAATGAAGCTTGTAATTGCAGTAATTCAAACATTAATGCCTGACTTATTCAAATTTTATTGTACTGATTCAACCTATGCCATTGTATTTCTTTTCTGTGTTTGAGAATGATCTTAACCTGATGTCCTTTTTTCCTTACTTAAAAGCTTTCTCAGAGTTGCTGAATGCAATACACAATGGTAAGTTTTATTGGAATCTTCTCTGGTGGTTCATTTATCACAACAAAAGTTGCCAGTTGAAAGCTAGCATGTTCTGTTGATTAGATGAAATCAAATGCTGCAGTGAGTCAGTCATTCAGCACCTCAATGAAAACTTGGTAGGTAAGGGCCGGGGAGATGGCTCAGTGGAATAAGCGCTTCCCTGGCAAGCACAAGGGCCTGAGTTCAATCCCTGGTTCCTCAAAAAAA